AAAACTGAAAGCAATCCAAGTGTCTATCAATAGATAAATAGGTAAGCAAAATGGGGGTCTATTCATGTGCTGGAATATTATGCAACCTTAAAAAAGAAGGAAATTCTGACATATAGCAGGCAATGAATCTTGAGGACATTATGCTAAGTAAAATAAACCAGTCATAAAATAACAAGTACCAGAACACTTACATGTAGTCCCTGGAGTAGTTAAATTCATAGAGACAGAAAGTAAAAGGGTTGTGGCAAGGGGCTGAAGAAGGGAAGACTGAGGTTTAGTATTTAAAAGGTATAAAAATTCAGTGTTTCAAGATGAAAAGAGGTCTGGGGATAGGCTATAGAGTGGCGTGATTGTGCTTAACACTGCCCAGTTTTACCCTTTGATAAAAAATAGACTGGCTAAGGTAGAAAATCTTAGGTGTGTTTTACCACAAATATCTTAAAAAGGCAAACTTTCTGATGAAAATGTACTAGTGCACTGACTTCACAGCTATGGCTATACAGCAAAAACTACTAAGCATGCCAAATATAAACTGACAAAATTCAGTTGAATAGGGAAACATTTTAAATCATTTTTTCTGAATTAGAAACACTGATTTTTTAATAGAAAAATTCTAAATGTACATTTTTTATGTATCTAAGGAATGTGTGTAAAAATGTTACCTGGTATAGCATTCATTAGCTACCAATGACTGTTAACCACTCGAGACGTAATTAGTCCAAGTTAATCATGCTATTAAGTGTGAATACATCCCAGAGTTTAAAGACTTGGAGGTAAGAGAAAGAATGTAAACTCAGTAATTTTATATTGAGTAGATAATGAAACAATGGTTTAGATGTATTTGGTTGAATGAAATATATTATTCAGTCATTTAACCCACTTCTTCCTTTCCTCCAACATGCCTACTAAAAAATGTGTACTTACAAACATGCCTAACGATATTTTCATTGGCAACTCTGGAGTGGACAACAAAAATCCTATGCAAAAGCATATACATTAATAAGAAGAGAACCAGAGGAGCCCAAATACTACAAAAGATCAACAGTCTGTACTCAGGATAAAATTAGGTGAAGTAGACAGAAATGGGCAAGAAAAGATGGTTCATTCAGTAGGTCAACATCGAGTCAGGGCAGCGGTCACTGCATCCCCCATCTCCTGCCCACCCTGTCGCCGCTGGCCACCATGCCTGGCGTTCCTCTCACTGACCCCTGTAACCTCCGCTATACCCCCAGAGAGGATTTGGCACTTCCGCTCATGGAAGACCGTCAGGAGAGTGAGGCTGCAACCTCTAGAAAGAGGGAATGAGACCCACCCCGAGATACAATTTTTGGCACATTCCACCTGGGCGTGGGTGAATAAAGAAGCCAGTACAGACCTGCGATAATGGCTGCCTGTTGAGACAGTTTATGCCCCCGATGAAGAACATGTTGGGCATGATGGGCCTGGGGTAATCCATCACAAAGTCTCCTCTGAACAGCCACACAGACCCATGGCTAAAAATGTCCCTCAGCGACACCTCTCTCTGCAGGAGTTCAGAGGCAAGGCTCGCAAAAGGAGAAAGGGAAATGTGGCAGACGTAGTTCACGGCCAGAGGGATGAGCATGTTCTTGACCCTCTGCAGGAATGTCATGTGGTCTGTAAGCTCCGTTAGGAGCCTGGGAATATATGAGGACGGATTTGGGCACTGTGTCCCCTCGGCGTCGAGGTCACAAGGAATGGAACGCAAGAAGAACACAGCCGGGATGGACAGGTACTTCGCCAGCAGAGCCCCGCAGGGGTAAACGGGATCCGTTAAAACCACATCGAAGTTGCTGGAATTCAGGTGCCTGATCAGGTCCTTGTGAAACACCAGCTCCCTACAAGCCTTCTCATAGATCAGAGCCGACTCCCTCGTCTTTTCCATGCTTTCCAAAAATTTCACTAGAAGAGGCTGACTTTCAAAAACCATTTCGGAGTAATCCTGAAATAACTTGTCGAATTCCTCCTGAGTGTAAGAGAACTTGTAGCGCTTCATGGTGAAGAAGTCCTCCGCCTTGATGTGCAAGTTGACGTCTGGTGCGAGGACCACGGCCTGGTGACCTCGGGCGTGAAGCTCCCGCACGGCCTGCCGCATGCTGAGCCAGTGGCTGCCATCCATGGGGACCACCAGCACCTTCCCGCCCTGGACCCCAGAGCAGACACACAGGCAGAGCCACAGCCCCAAGGGCACGGGCCAGGGGCCCCGGAGTCCTGCAGACATCTCAGATGAAGCCCAGCCCAGGTGACTTCCAGCCCAGCTCTGCTCCCATATTGATTTATTTGTCTTTATCTTTGTCTTTATCTTCGTTAATCATTACAAACTCTATCTATTGCTATCTTTCCCCACTGTTTCTCCCAAGGTTGTCCACTCCCCCAGAAAACAGCCAAACCCCCACCCCCAAAATGATCTAGAACTCGAATGAAACAGCAGTTCTCTTCAGAGTATTCTAGGTCGGTTCAGGTCGTTTTCTTATTTGTTCTTCCAGGTCCGAAAATCAGGCTTTGGGTGTTCAGTCCACTTGTTTGCCTCCTGTTGGCTGTGATCCTGCAGCGAAGGTGCTCACAGTCTGAGAGACACCCACCCACCCTGCTCTCCAGACGTGACCTGAGCTGAACACTTCAAAGTCTCTCCTCCCCTGGTGAGTGCATGGACCCCTTCACCCCACAAATGCTTGGCAGCTCTTATGACAAGGCAATGCCAAGACAATGTCCTCTCTGTGGGGACGCTGCCTCTCTAGCCCAGTGTCCTTTCTGCATCAGGACCCTCTGACCACATTCTAGAGGAGCCTGCCCCCAGGGGCTGCCAAACAGGGACCTGGGAGAATCCAGGCTCAACGTGTGAAGAAGACAACACAGGCCTGGTTGAGAATTCTGTACCCACCGCATGAACTGTGAGCTGCTGCTACCTGAAGCGTGAATGGGCAAGACATGCTTCAGCAATGGCACAGAGCGGGAGAAGGGAGCCGCCTCCAGGCCCTGCACAGCCCAGTCAGCCACGTAACTTTGTGTCTCTCCCGAGGCTCAGCTCCACCCTATCCCTCCACGCAGGTGAGGTGCTGTCTCCGCTGTGCTGAGCTGGGTTGTGTGTTGGCCATGCGATGCCAGAGCATGGGTGCAGGTGGGACTTCCACACTGGGAGTCCCTTTGTGTGTATCTGCCCTGGCCCCTGGCAGGGAGAGCAGCAGGGCCCCCGGCAGCTGGTCCTCACCAGACACGTTTCCAAACCTCACTGATGAAGACCTGAGCCTGAGAAGGCGGCGCGGGGGGTGGGGGTGGGGGTGGCACGCGAGGCCAACATCATGGCGCAAGCCGTCCGTCTGCAGTGGGGGACGGCGTCCTGGGCGGGGAGGTTCAATGAGGCAGAGCTCTTGATTTGTGCAGAAATTAAGCTATAGATTTATTGCAAAGTCAAGGAAATCTCACTGTAGTGTTTGACACGACGAAAATCGGTTGAAATTCACAAGAATCATCAAACTTCTGGAAATAGTGAAGTTTCCATCGGCCCTGTGCTCCACAGATAATAACCACGACTTTTGCCAACTGTTTAAAAAAAGCTTCGGACAGCACTGGACAGCAGGAAAAAGCAGGTGATAATGGGGGGAGGGGCACAGATATCCCTGGGTGTCAGGCTGGTCACCAGCCAAGGGAGGGTTCTACTCTGTTCCCCCACCCCCCACCCCCACGGCCCTGCCCGCACCACTGCACGAGCTTGTCTCCATGAAGGAAGAGGTGGATCTACGCCCATTGTCCCCCGCTGACCACAGGGTGGCCAGCAGCTCAGCCAGCCCATCCCCCACCTAGGGTCAGGGCTCCCTGAGCAGCCTTTCTGGGCTCCCGGGCGGCCCTGCTGGCTCATCAGACTGCGTGGCTGATCACGGGCCACAGGTTGCCAATCCGGAGTGGATGCTAACCGCACGGAAAGAGCAAGAATCATCCCAGGGCCAGCGCCCAGGGGGCGTCTTAGTCCCAGAGCCCCAGGGCACAAGGCAGCCAGCCCAGGACGGAGGGGCGCCTCGCCCACTAGAGGCACAGGGCAAGGTCAGCGCCAGCAGCAGGTGTGCCCCAGCAAGTGTCTCGGGAAGGCCGCAGCTACCCTCCCACCCCAGACACTGTGCATCGCAGAAGGCCCCCACCGCCACCCCAGAATGGCCCAGAGAGGCGTGGGCCAAGTGCGTGCGGCACATTCACTAGGACAGACCCTAGGGTGGGTCGTTAACCATGCCAATCAAATCCGAAGGTTGAAACCATGTCACGTATATTCTCTGATCACCACCTTACAAGGAAAAAAACAATCACAAAAAGGAAGGGGAAATCGCTAACGTGTGTAGTTTGAACTACACACCTTTGAATAAGCAAGGAAATCAAACAAGAAATTTAAAACTAATGGAGATCAATGAAGGTGAAGACACAACTTTTCAGAACCCATCCGTGGCACACAGCAAGAGCAGTGTTAAGTGGGAAACATAGCACGACCGAGAAAGAACTCGGTAAGCAGTCTCCCGCTCCCCTGAGGGTACCTGAGAGAGGACAACAGACAAACCCCAAGCTGGAGGAAGGAAGAACATAAAAAATTAGAGCAGAAATAAATGAGATACAAACCAAAATACAGTCTAAAGTGTCAGTAGAATCAAACACTAGATTCTTGGGGGGGGGAAATCACTAAAATAGGCAAACCTTTAGCTGAACTTATTAAGAAAACAATGGAGAAGAGTCTAATAATAGAATCAGACATTAAAGACAAGTTACAACAGACATTTCACAAACATAGAGCGCTTAAGAGCTTACTGCAAACATTTATGTGCAGCACCCAGATGAAATGGACAAATTCTTAGAAATCTACAACCCTGAGACTGAACCAGAAGGAATAAACCTGAACAGAAGAATCATCAGCAGGAACTTGAAACAGCAATCAAATGTCACTAAAAAAAATAATAATAATAAAACCCAGGCCAAGAGAGTTTCACTAGTGAGTTCTACGAAACCTGCAAAGATGAGATAACATTAACCTTCTCACACTCTCTCCAAAAAATACAGAGGGAGTTCTTCTAAACAGTCTACAAAGCCAACATCACTCTGACACAAAATGCTGATAAAGACATCACACACAGACGTCTGTGTCAACTAAATGACAGACCGGTAACCCCCGCAAAAATCCTCAGCAAAATACTAACATTGAACAGTGCATCAAAAGGATCACACATCAAGGCGAGTGGCGTTTATTCCAGGGACACCATCATGGTTCCATAGCCAAAAACCAACCAGTATAATTTGACACACCAATAAAAGATAAGGTAAAAATCACGTGACCATACCCATAGATGCAGAGACATCATTTTATAAGATGGAACATTCATGACAATAAAAAGAAAGTATGGGGTGGTGGAACATGTCTCAACAGAGTAATGTCCAAGCGTAACAGACCCACATTACACTCAGTAGAGAAAGACTGTAAGCACTACCCTAGATCTGGTACAAGACAGGAGGCCACTGTCACCACCGCTGTTCAACACAGCACTGGGAGTCCCAGCTAGAGCAACTAGGCAAGAGAAAGATGCAAGTGGAATCCAAGTGGAAAAAGAAGAGCGATCATCACTGTGTTTGCAGAGGACATGATAATAAGAGAGAGCACCCTGAAGCGCCGCTGGGGGAGCAGAAGCAAAACACCTAACTGACCTAACTGCGATGTAAGCCCACACAGTGAAGCGTCACCATCAAAATCAATTGACAAAGGTGCAAGCAATGAGCTAGAAGAGAAAGAAATCAAGAAAACACACTCCCCCACCCCGAAAGAAAGAGCCTCTGGGCTGGCTGGGCCCCTGAGGGCCCCACATTCGCTCAGAGCAGGCAGAGCTCCCCTTTGCAGTCCTCCGGCCCTTGATGTCACCCTGACGTCTGCCTGGGTCCCGAGAGCAGCCACTCGTGAGCTCTCTGGCGCCCTCTCGCACTCTGCCACAGAAAAAGAAGAGCAGAGGTCGCAGATCATGGAGCTGAGTCTGCGGAGCAGGTTGAGCCCCGGAGCTCCAGTCTCTGCCATTCGCCCGGCGCCAGCAGCCTCTGCACCCGACCAGCAGCACCCCCTCCTCCTGCCCGCCTCAGCAGCCCCTCCGTGCCCAGCGCCTCCGTCTCCTCCTCCATCAGCTCTTCCAGGCACCAGCCTCAGCGCCCCTGGCCGCCCAGACCTCGGGGTCACTTCCTGTGCACATTGTGGCCAGGAGCCCCCAAGCCGGCGCCGCCAGGTGGCCGGCTGCACCCACCTAGCATAGGAGGCAGGAGATGACTTGGATCAAACCTCAGGGGGGACCAGCACACCAGAGGAGCGCTGGCTCCCACAGGCACATGAGATTTGGTTCCTTCCAGGTGCCTGACCTGTGCACAACCTAACACTGGCTAGAGCGAGGCCAGGGACACAGCGCGCAGGCTCCTCCCCTTTCAAACACCTGTAGGTTGACTCACAAAAACCCAAGCCTTGCAGAGGCGACAAGTATTTACTTCTGCTCTGCAACAGATTCTCTGTGGCTTTTTAATAGAAAAGACTTTAATGTATAGGTTTGGATGTATCTATGGAAGTGTACAGATGTCA